CTCCAATTGTGACCTTATTTGGTCTCGCGGACGTGACGCTGAGCGCACGTGGTGAACCTGTCTTGCAGTTTTCCTGCTCGTTTAATGTCTAGTTATTGCTTTTATAAACAATAATTAATGTTCGAAGTTCTATCACAAACTGCTGATGACGAATGGCCCGAGTTGGGTCAGTCTGCGGCTCAGGAAGTGACAAAAGCCAAGGTTAATGAGAATTGATTTACTAATTCGTGTAGGTTCCTGTGAAGTCTAAGTCTAAGCGAAAATGGAAGCGTTTGGACGAAGAAGACTTAGCAAAGATGGAAGAGTCGGAAAATACTGGTCCCGTTCAGGAAACGGGAGTGCAAACTGGTTCGCCTCCCAAGGAACCTGCCGTCATCGAGCCAGTTGCCAATGACGCTTCTCGGTCGAGGAAGCTAAACGGTGTCGGCGAACCTCAATCCAGAAAAATAACCACAGAATTCAATGATTGTGGTGGTGCTCCTTGCCTGTTCGTTAGACCAGATTATGCTGGCTTCGAAATTCCTGTGACAATTCCCAGGCCTGGCTTCAGTAATGACCCTATATGTTTAATGTTCTTATGCATACAGATCCAAATATTGTCAGTCATTATAGAAATTTTGGAAGATGTGTGCAGACCTGTGGCTGCCGATCCCCTGGTTGTCTGATCTGCGAGGGTGAGCGTCTCGCACGAATTAAATATCAGGTGGAATACTATTTCGGAGACAGGAACTTTGGTCGTGACAGTTACCTGCAGAGCCAGATTACGGATGATCGCTATGTACCGGTCAAAGTTGTTTTGGATTTTCCACGTATGCGACAGTTGGGGACCACTCTGGAGGATCTTGTTAAGGTGCGTACCTATTTTTTATGGTTCATACATTTTAGGCGTGTGGCACTAGCGATGTCGTGGAATTCGATGAACATATGTCCAAGATACGTAGGAAAAATGCATACATCCACAAACCTCTCTTTTTCCCGATTGCAAGTAATAAATTGTTACGTTATTTCATTCAAAATTCTAGTGCCTCATGCTCAGCAACCCGGCTACACCGAACAACCTATCACCACTCATAATGATGGGAGTGGTGGTTTGCACCTAAATCTATCCCCAACATATGCATCTAGTTTTTTGTCACCTGTTACTGTCCAATTGAATAACAGCAATGTTCAAGATAACTGTCAACCCGTACCACCACCGGACACCGAAAATGTTTCGTCTACCCCACCTGAAGATACTTGGCAGACTGTTGAACGTCGTGTGAAGCGTACCCGAAACCGTTCTTCATGTGAAGGACCCGAGGAGGCTCCCAAGCCATCCACTTCCCAGCGTTCAGTAAGTTTGCGTTTTTTCTTCCTCTAAGGAGGACTTACCACTTTTAGCAGGCTCAGTCCAGATCGCGTCTACATTCAACTTGTTCGGAACAGAGCGATGCTGACGAGGACGAACTTCTTAATTATCTCGTTGTCATTGTTCCTGAGCGTGCGAGCGGCCGAGAGCAGAAGCACACTACTATGCACGCATCCGCTGAGGACCTAGAAAGTGATGTGCGTAAAGGAACTGCTGCTCTTTCCATCCCGGAGTCACGCTCAAAATCTACATCTGCTAGTCTTCAAGCTTCACCCTGTCCACCTCAAAAGCTTGCTCAGTCCTCCAGCGATTATTTAAGCACTTCGGGAGTATCTTCTCGTTTGCTTATGAAGCACCCTGGTGGGGATCGACACCCCAATCCAGATTACCAGTCGAGGTGAGTTTTTTTTTTATTGTTTGTGTTTCCATGCACTAACGTCGGACTTGATTGTCCACTCCTGCAGCCGTTTGAGCTATCATTAGATATATGTTATTAGTTAAGTGTCGAGTTTGCATCCTTCGTTACTTCATATATACATAGATGATTTATTTGATTTTCAGTACATCTGTCACCTTTTTTTGGTAGTCCTGCAGTACTAATACAGTTCTTTTTAAAGGGCAAAAACTCAAGCAGATCTGGCAAGAGAGATCAAACATGGCCTCGAGGTTTATCAAAAAAGCATCCGTCGTCAGCGCTGTCGGTCTTACCAGCAGTTGGGTTTTGAGTTTGATTTCGAGTCGGACGGGTACATTAGTTCCAGAACAGACTCTTTCACTGACCTTTCTGGAGGTGAGGACCGTTTCTCGGAGCAAAAGGCAAACAAGGTAACCCTTTCTTCATGACTCAGTTTGTTTGTTTTTTTTTACTATAAAATGGTCTAACCAGGTCCCAAATTCATTATTACATATTCGCATCCCTCAATCATAGCCTCTCCATCAACCCAACACGTGAACCTAGAACTAAAGAAATTTCCAGTTCGAGTTATTTTTTTCGCTTTTAAAGTTAAATAGGCCTTGTTAAGGCTGCAACTACCTTACGTGATTTAATCATACTTTCGTCCCATTTGTCTGCTTCTGAGTAACTTACTTTGTCCATGTGTGTCAGCCTTCCTCTGACTGTAGGTCATGATCAGCGTGTAACACTTCTCTCCCTCTCTGTACTCTCTGCATCTACCCTTGCGCCTATTGTAAATTACTGTCTTGAAAGAAGACACAAAAAACTAAGGTGAAAGAAAGCAGCAATATATTTCGCTGTTCGTCAGCAGTCCTCCAAATCATACTAGCAACACCGTCGAAAATCTCTGTAGCTACATTTCTTATCCTACAGAAAGAAGGGCTTGTTTGTTGCAAGCAAGTAACAAACTTCAAAAGTAGCCTGGTTTATCCCTTATTAGGTTTTGCATTGTTTTGCTGGCCTGTTTAGCTAGGGTCTTAGACTCCTCACGAGGCGCGGGGTTCGCCATTGTTTTTATATTTTTTTATAACATCTTGACTAGAAAAATAACGTCACATGAATGTCTCATTTTCTGCTTTTAAAGCACGGGCTCTTCACAACATATTCTATAAGGTGTTTTGTCTTCCAGCATGCTATCCTACAATTGTAAGTCCTCATGAAATTTGTTGACAGCATCGGAGGGTAGTCATGTTAAATTGGACCCGTGTTAAGACCACTAGATATCAGGTAATTATCCCATCTCGCTTTTACACTTTACTACAGAACGTACCGCTCACCACAACTGTATCGCTTCCTGCGTT